GTTTGGGATGCCAGCTCTGGTTAGGGGCATAAGAGTGTCTCCCTGCGGTGGCTGAGGGGCGGCAGGGGCAGCATCCCGCGGGCCCTATTTTGCTCTGGGAGGAATCCCCCCTGAGCCAGAGCCTCATCCTGTGGCAGGGCTGCCCCATGAATTAAACATGCCCCCGTGGTTAACTCAGTAATGCTTTTATTAATAGTTAATTACTCAGTGCGCACTAGGGAAATGAGACTCACTCAGGCCTCGTAAATTAAGACAGTGATCTCGTGAAAAAGCCAATGAGAGTTCATTACCCCAGTCCCTCCCATCGCTGCACCTCTGGGTTTGCCATTTAGCAGCGCTAAAGGTGAGGAGTGTGGGGACAGGGATCTCCAGGGTGGAGCTGGGATGCGGACAGTGAATATCACCAGTTTCCTGGAAGAGAAAGGCCTGAGGGGCAGGGCAGAAGTATCCCCTGGAGATGTTATTCCTGCAGCTGATCATCAGACTGTGTTCCTCATCACTTCTGGGGACTCAGCACAGCCTCCAGGGAGTCCCCTAGAGGGCAAGGCCACCTGGCTCAGGTGTGGGGCTCCCTCCCCTGCGATGGCCTTCCTCATTTCACAGTGCGGAGACGGATGTCCCCTCCTCGGCTTTTGTTGTGGCTGAAGCCAGTTTCCCATCCTGAGTTTGCCGCTGAGCTGGAAAAGGGGCCTGTTCTAACCTGGTTTGGTTTTCCTAAACGTAACTTTCTCCCACGTTTTGTTTCCCAGAAGACAGGAGCCCCTTGTTCATCGTCCTGGGACACCAGAGCCAACACCTGCTTCGAACCTACTATGTGCCAGGACCTGGCCCTCTGGCTCATGTTCCTTAGCTCCGATTCTTAGCTGTGTGACTTCGGGCCAGCGACTGCACGCCTGGGCCCATTTCCTCGCCTGGAATTAGAGAGAATAGCAATACCTCTGTGCGGAGTTACTGTGATGATTAAACAAAGTAATGCACGTCAAGTACTGGGAACACCGCCCAACACAGATTCTCCCTACGTGGCAGCTATTATGATCTTCACACCATGCTGCCATTTTACAGGTAAGCAAAGTGAGGTTTTAAATGCATTCTGTTGCCTAAGGACACATAGCCCAGAACTCCATGTTGCCAAAGCTCATCACTTCCTCCTAAGGGGGCAAAGTGGGAGGGGAGGGGGTCAGTCGCCCTTAGAAGAGCACATTGACCATGTCCGGACCCAGGAAAGATCTGCCCTCTGTGCCCAGGCCCCAGCCAGCGTGCACAGGTCTCTGAAGTCAGCCTGGCCGAGTCCAAATCCTGCCACACCCCCTACCTGTCACAGGGACCCGGGGCCTCAGCTTCCACTCCTGACAGTGGGCTCCCGGTTACATCTACCTCCTCGCGCAATCCGCAATCAAAGGATTTCTGTTTGAAAGTGCCTAACATCTGGTAGCCTTGTTTCCGAACTCTGCACCTGATTTCTTCATATGTAACCCGGCGATCACAAAAAGCCTCGCGCGCTGGGCTGCTGGAGCCCCGCGGAGATAATGGGCACCACTCAGCCTGGTACGCAGGGACCTGGGAACTGGCAGGCGGCAGGTGTTCCTGGTCAAGGCCCCTCCAAGGGCAGGGATGTCGGGGAGCCTCGGGGGCGGG